GATTATTTTCTATTGTTTGTTGTTTGCATTATATTGAATTCCAGTATGATGTGGTCACTTTCACCCAAGGTTCTGGCAATTTCAACTGCCTCTATCACTTCTTCTCTATTAGTAAGAATTAGGTCCAGTATAGCTTTACTTCTAGTCCCCTCCTCCACATTTTGTGTGACAAAGTTGTCAACTAGGTTGGTTAGGAATCTGTTTGATCTCCCACTTACTGCAGAGTTTGTCCCTCAGTTGATATCTGGATAGTTGAAGTCTCCCATTACTACTGTGTATGCTTCCTACGTACATTTGTTAACTGGTTGGCAAAAAGTTCATTTATTTTTTCTAATTGGTAGGGTGGCCTATGGCAGGGCTTTTCAACCTTTTCACCCATTGTACCACTTTTAGGATATGGCAATATCCGAGTACCACCAGTCGCCTAGCAAGCTGTCAAAAACTTGATGACTTACAACAGTTCGCTTAGTGACTGTTTGAAGTTACAATGATACTGAAAAAAGCGCTCCCCAAGCCACAGCCGAGCAAGACACCTGCCTGCCCACCTGGCCGTGGTCTTCCTTCTATCCAAGGTTTTCATTGTTGTGAGCATTTCTGTTGAGGATTGGCAGTGGGGGTGGGGTAGGGGGGATGTTTGGTTTTTATTCTCCCCCATCTGCTGGGTGGTTGCAGCAGGTTTTGGTCACTTCATATGATCCTGGGACATTGTGACCGTCACAAATATGAATCAGTTGCCAAGCATCTGAATGTAAATCACAAGACCCTGGAGATGCTGCAACATTCCAGCTGATCGGCGCTTCTTCTGGGCTCAGAAGCACCAGGATCAGCGCCGAGCTCCAGCTGGAGCCTGGCGCTGATCCTGGTGCTTCCACTGAGCCCTGACAGCCCCAAAGAAGTGCTGATCCTGGCACTTCTGCTGAGCCCTGACAGCCTTGCAGCTCCCACTATGTCCTACTATTTGCTTTTGTATTTTTCTATTTTATTTTATAATCTAATAAAATATTACAAACTAGGAAAAAAAGAAAAAAAGTACCAGTTTTAATTTCTTCGGGGGCTGTTCCTTTGCTGAATCACTTTCTCTTTGCAGTGACAAATGTATGATGAATTTATCCATGTTTATTAATATGCACCATTACCAGCTAGTTCAGGGGTCTTCAAACCTGGCATTTATAAGACTTGTGGACTTCAACTCCCAGAATTTCTCAGCCTTCATGGTTGGTTGAGGAATTCTGGGAGTTGAAGTCCACAGGTCTTAAAGTTGCTAAGTTTGTAGACTCCTTAGGTAGCTGGTCAGCCCTTCTTTCTCTCTCCCTTCTGAGTTCTTCTATAGTAAGAATGCACCCCCCCCCCAATCCCTTCCCTGTACCCTTAAAGACACAGGTATCAAGTGCAAAGCAAGAAAGGCTCACAAAATAAGTCTCCATTTCCCCCCTTTAAACTGCTTCAGGCGGTGTCAGGTGTCACAATGTTGCAATCCTAGATTGAAAGGCTCTGGCAGTTGTGAACAGCTTTAGCTTTAAATTAAGCCTATTTACCTTCAAAGAAAACTTTCTAAAAGCCATAGACAGACTCAATTAAAGGGGGTAAAATTAATTTCATTTTTTTAAAGGGATTAAACCTTTCCTGTTGTCTTTTTTTCCCTTCCCCCACCCAAACCACCTCCTTTTATAGCCTCTCCTTTCCTCCCCCCCTTTTCTTTAGTTCACCTCCAGTTCTGAGCTGCTTCTGGAAACAGCTGGAGCCCTGCTGGCTCCTGGAGCTTTTGCCCAGTCCAGACAGTCATGCAGCTGCAGCTGCCTCTCCCTCAGGCTGCTTAGGCTCATTCCTCTCCCCTGCTACACTTTCTAGCAGTCGCGTACCTCCTGCCAAGTGGCAAAGTACCACTTGAAAAGCCCTGGCCTATAGTATACCTCTATTGCAATGTCACTTTTTTTCTTTTTATATTGACCGATAAGGATTCTGGAGGGCTTTTATCTTTGAACATGTGCATTTCTGTAGTATTCTCTTATATATAGTGCAATTCCTTCTCTTTTTGTAGTTGTTTCTTTTGAACAATTTGTATCCATCCATCAGTCCATTCCAGTCATGGGCTTCATCCCACCAGTAATGCCAATTATATCATACCCACCCTCATGTACTATTGCTTCTAGTTCACCCTATTTTTCCCCCAAGCTTTGAGCATTAGCATATAAAGATTTAAGAGTTTTATGTCTGTCTACAGGTATGTTTCCTGGATCTCCTGATTGTTGTTTGATTTTTTTCTTTTTTCGCATCACTCCCTACTTCTTTGTTTGATTTGTTTTCTTAGGATTTATGATTGGTTTTGTGTGAGATTCTAATGATTGGTCACCCTTACCTCTCAATTTGAGTTTAAAGCCCTTCTAATGAGTTGGGCCAGTCTTATTCCAAGTTTTCTTGGTGACACCAATCTTTTGGCCACTGGTTTATTTCTAGAATTCCTTTTTCGCCTCAATGAGTGTTGGCCTTTCGTTGGGAGTACTGATGAGAACATTACTTGTGCTCTTATCTCCTTAATTTTATTGCCTAGTTGCTTATAGTCTCTCAGTATTGTGCTTAGGTTCTTTGTTGTGTGATTCATCCCAATGTGAAGGAGTAGGAGAGGGTAGTAATATGTGGGCCTAATTATTTTGGTGAGGTTCTCAGTCACGTATTTGATTTTTGTTCCAGGGAGACAACATACCTGCCTGGATTGTATGTCCGGTCCGCAGATGGCTGATTCTGTTCTTTTGAGAATAGAACCTCCTATCACCAGAATTCACTTTTTTTGGGGGGGGGTGCAGTCTGAGGTGCTTTTTTGTTTGTCTCAGGTGTTTGTTGATCTTTTTTAGGGATATTTGATGTTGTTTCTTTGCTAGGTGTCTGCCTGTTTTCTTTGAGGGGAAGGTTGTGGGTCTGTGTATTTCCATCTGGGGGAAAAATCAATTGCTCAGTTTTAATGGGGCTGCTTCTGGTTGGGTTAGATTGGGCAGTAGGGATTTGTTAGATGTATGCTGCTTCTTCCTTTGATGATTGTGTTTCCTTCTATGTGTGACATACCTCTTTTTGTCTTCCTTCAAGGGTTTATCAGTAGGATCAAATCCTCTGGGAGTTATTTGTCCATTGTTTGTTTTGGTTTGGGTATAGCTTTTTTTCGTAGGTTGGAGTTTAGCTAGAGTTGCCTCTAGATCCCTACTTTTTCTTCTATCATGTTTCCCTGAAAGTAAGACCTAGCTTGATTTTGGGGGGTGGGTGTAATATAAGCCCTTCCCCCAAAATAATTCCTAGTTTTGGAGTGAGGCGCATACCTAAAAACCCAGCTAGGGCTGGGATAGAACTTACCATTGCAGCCAGGCCTCCAATGGATCAATACTTGCCTTGCCGGCCCATTTCTTCTGCAACAGAAGTAGCTGCTTCATTGTGCAGCTGAGAATGGAACTTGGGCCTGCATTTCACAATCAGAGGCCTTTCCAAAAGGCCTGTGCAACCGATAACTGAGCTATGGATTCAATCCATAGCTCAGTTCTTGGCTGTACAGGCCTTCTGGAAAGGCCTTTGATAGTGAAATGCAGGCCTTAACTCCATTCTCAGCTGCAGAATGAAACTGTTCCTTTGGCTGCAGAAGTGGGCTGGCTGGGTGGGGTTGCCAGTGCTACCACCACAAGGTGAGTGGAAAAGACCCCCCTGAAAATAAGACCTGGTGCCTCTTTTGGAGGCAAAAAAAATGAGACTAGGTTTTATTTTTGGGGAAACATGATAGTAGTTTGCATAGTTTACATTTAATACATGTATAATTTGGGTGTTCTTTGGGCATAAGCACCTACATGGAACATATATTGCATATGTGGGATTTGTTGTCTAGTTGAAATAAATAGTCACCAGCCAAAACTTCCAAGAGAAAGAAATGTGCTTCTTTTTCTACCTTGTTATTTATTTAACTTTCTTACTATTATATTAGTTTTATTTATCCTTTTCTTCCCTTTATTTTTAAAAAGTTTTTGAGCTCCAATTTTTCCCTACCTTATTATTTAAGATTTGTTTTGTTAAAATTTGCCTCTTTATTAATCGTATTTTCATCGATTTCTAATGTTCCACTCTTGTCCTTATTAGTTGACTATTTATTTATCTTTTATTTTTCTGTCTTGTATTTATTTTTAATTTTCTACTGGGGTCTTTCCTCCCTTCCTCAAACTTAATTGTTGCCTCCACTTCCATTGCAGGCCGTGGCCTGCAGTCGTTTTCTCTGCAATTCCGTTCTGTCTTTTGGTTCTTGGGTCTTTTTGGCCTTGTCTCTGCTCTGGTCAGGCCTTTCCAGTTGGCTCAGCTCTGCTGTCTGGTCTGCTCTGCTCAGCCAGCCACTCAGCTTTAGAGAGCAGAGCTCTCTAACTCGATGTGCCTCTGCTGCTACTGTGCTGCCCATCTCTGCTGCTGGTACGATTGCCCCTCCATTGATTCTGCTGCTGTGTTTCTCCCCTTCACAGATTCTGCTACCACCAATTTCTCATAGCCACTGGTTCTCTTTGTTAGATGATTTGCTCCAGGCCCTTTGACTCCATGAATGGAAGGCTTATGATTGTTATTGAAAAGAAGGGTGGCTATACTGGTCATTGATTTTTTTTTGAAATGTCAGAAATTATTTGTATATTTTGAATTGTTTATTTATTATTCTCACTTTAATAGATGCAAATAAATGAGTGAGATAGACAAATTTTCATTTTTCATTTAGTTGCATGATAATTCTGCACACTAATAATTGCCCAATAATTGTGCATACATAGATATTCTCCTAAACCAAAACTTCACTTATACTTTATTAAATATTCAGGTTTGAGGTTTATTAGCATTTTGGATTGACTGAGAGTACTGTAGTTGTTCAATTAGAAAATACAAAATACAACTTGTTTAATAATTATACCCATAGAGTGCATGAAACTTTTATCTATTTTGAGGTCATTCTAATCATATATTGTATTTTGATTGTATCCTTCTATGTATTTTTCCAGAAAGTATGCTCAGACTGATCTATAATTTGATAGTTCTAAGTCTAATAACTCCATTCTGCTTAATGAAAAAACTCTTCTGCGTTATATCAAGGTAAAGTAGATCAAGAATTTTGTTTTGAAGAATGAATTATGACTCTCCAATGGTTTTAAATTTTTTTAATTTGTATTTGTTAGCAATCATGCTATTTTTCAAGTCCTGTTTTCACCCTCTACTACTTGAAATCCAAAAATCATATCAGTAATAATTTCAGAACTAATTTGCATTTTTCTTTTAATATTAATAAAAAACACTATCTAGAATAAATCTGAATGTAATTTAAGGATAATATTTATTTGTATTCTGTTGCCATTTGGTGCTTGGAAGGAAATAACTGCTTGTTTCTTTGAAACATATAGTATCATTTTCTAAGCAAATAAGACTAAACATTTACCGTTATCACTATAAGTGAATAGTCACAATTTTTTTCTCAGTTAAAGATAATGGATGGCTATCACCTGTTAGTAAGGAAAGGCCTTTTGTATGGACAGGAATTGGGATTTGCTTTTTGTATTAGAGGAAAGTTTCCATTGGTGTCCACCATTATCCTTGTGTTAACAGATGCTTTCAAGCAAGCCAAATCTTATGCTGGATAGCTACTCTAATACATAGGTGCTGAACATTTCTGGTCCAACTGGCTGCACTGAACAATTTGTGAGTCATGAATATTCAAAGAAAATGACTGCTGTGGCAGGAAGTACATGTTATATCACATCCTATGCTAAGCACATTGAGCTACAAGTGTGCTTCACAGTTTTCAGTGTGCAGCTACACTCTCTGCATTCTTCCATTTGAAGTTAATGTTCTTCAGATCTTCCTGAAATACATATGTATAAGAAAGTAAGGAAATACATATATACAAAGAAAGCATTGGGCCACTGCAAGTCACTTAAAAAAGTAAGAATACCTGTAAACTTCTGTATGGAATCCAAGGGAAAAAGATTATGGAGACTGAGCTTTGCTTTTAGCATAACAATTTACTTTTTTATACTGTTTTGAAATTATATTTTGGAATGTAAAAAGTGAAGTAAGAAGATGATACCTACAACCAAAAAGGTACCCAATTGGAGATCCTAGTATTAGTAATATTGTGTTAGTCAATTGAGCCATTTAAAATATTAATATAGTTACATAGTTGTCCATTACAAAGAAAGCCCAATGAAGCCTAGTTGCCCAGTATCTATTGCTTTGCACAAGAAATTTGCTCTTGGACAAACCTTTGGATTGAGGAATTTCAGGAGCTGAAATTCAGGAAATTGCCACAATTGGGAAATAGTGCTCTAAAAAATTCAGGATTCCCTTTTTCTTAGTTAGCACTTGGCACAAAGATGGTGGCACACATCTTCATGAACATATACAGCCAGATTTTTAAAATAAAGCAGATGCAGGTCAGAAAAAAATCTAGATAATCACTAGAAAACAGCAAATATATTTTTGTACCCAGAATCACTGCAAGTTAGCAGTGATTCTTTCCAAATGTACTATAATTATCAGAGTCTCTTTACCAAGATTTATTCAGAGGATGGACATGAGTTATAAAATTTCAGTAACTGAACTGTTTCTCATTTAAAATTAATATAAAGCCACATACAATAGAATGAGAATTTTTGATTTTCTTTTTAGCAGTTTTCCAGCGATGCAGAAAGGCAGAGCAGCAGATCTATACATAGATATCAGTGATCCTTGCAGCCACCTGTTTATGTACAGGTAGTCCTCGACTTAAAACAATTTGTTTAGTGACCATTCAAAGTTACAATGACACTGAAAAAAATTGATGACCAATTTTCATATGACCATTGCAGCATCCCCTTGGTCACAAGATTAAATTTTGGATGCTTGACAACCGGCTTATATTTATATCGGCTGCAGAAATCTGTGGTCATGTGATCACCTTTTGCAAGCTTCTGACAAGCAAAATCAATAGGGAAACAAGATTCACTGAACAACCGTATTACTAACTTGACAACTGTAGTGATTTATTTAACAACTGTGGCAAGAAAGATTGTAAAATGGGGCAAAATTCACTTAAATGTCTAACTTAGCAATGCAAATTTGGGGGTCAATTGTGATCGTAGGTTGAGGACTACTTTTAATAATCTCTTGAATCTTTTTATTTTGGAAACTCTATCCTAGAGAAACAATTAAGCAAACAGAAGATTAATGTAGAATATCAGAATGGGATTTTAAGGATTTGAGACTAAAATATTGTGAGATTAATTCTTGATTTTTGTTGTTGTTTTCTGTTGTTTTTAGTGGGAGCTGTACTCAGAAAATTATTGCTTGGGTGACCCTATTCCTGTTGCTTTTTGGTAAACATATAATTATGTTGTCTTATATTCAGATTTATATTGTATTATATTTAATATATAATATCATAAATCAAATAATATATAATATCATATGTTATTTCATATTTATTATATTACAAGATACCATATCATCATATCATTATCACAATATAAATGACACAAAGATAATGGCAAAATGGGGGAGGGAAAAGAGGTGAAAAGAGAAATGTTGAAAAAGAGAAAAGAGAAGCAAGAAAAGCCTTAACTTCCAACATTTTTCAATGCAGTAGAATAAAAATAATGAAATACAGACTCAACTTTTTACTTTTACATACTTAATATATATTATTTATTTCTACAACAACAAATTTATCTGATCAATAAATCCCAAAATCAGAATTTTATTTTTTTTCTGTATTGAGCACAAAGTCTAGAAGCAGTTTCCAAATAGAAACAAAACTGGATATATTCTTTTTAATTACAGCAGTTAGCCATCTCTGCTAACTCCATCAATTTTTGCATCTGTTCTTCTATTGTTGGGATTGTTGTATCTTTCCATTGTTTCTGCATAAAGAATTCTCCCTGCAGTCAGCATATAACAAAGTTCCACATTTGTTGTAATAATCCTAAAAGAAAAATCTCTGGTTTTGATTTTATATTCATGTTAGGAATCTTTTAAATTAAAAAGTGAATCTAACCTCAATATTTATTTGCTTTGTCACAAGTCCACCAAAAATGATAAAAAGTTCCTTCTTTTCCATTACCTTTCCCACATATATATGAAATTTATGTATATTTGCTCATGCTGTGTGTGGGAGGGCAAAATGTGTGGGTCAGAGGAAGGCCCACTCCCTCTCCCTGCGAGGAGACCTGGCTTTGTAACCAAAGCATCCTCAGCAATAGGATTGGAGACCACCAGGAGAGAAGAGGAGAAGACAAGGGGATGGTGAAAGGGCAGTAAGCCTGCTCGTGGCCAAGTGCTAAGGCAGGACTTCCCTTAGACCCTTCCTCCCTCTCATTATAATCTTCCTTCCTTCCTTCCTTCCTTCCTTCCTTCCTTCCTTCCTTCCTTCCTTCCTTCCTTCCTTCCTTCCTTCCTTCCTTCCTTCCTTCCTGTCCCAGTCCCTTACTTAAACTTGAGATATCATATCAATCTAATCAGATAACCCAAGCAGAGACTTCTTGATCAAGGAGCACTTTGTTTGATCAAATTAAGCAGCTGGGTGGCCAACAATCAATCTAGAATGCTGGCAGAGTTACATCCAGAAGTGCAACATCTTAGAAATTTGGTAGCATTGCTTTATAAACTTTGTTAGCCAATGAAAATCAGACAACAGAGCCGTTACATCATAAAGAAGACATCAATCATTCATGTACACTCCCTTATTCCCTCCTTCAGTATATCTCATCCATGTACATGTTTCCCATACTTACATGAAATTTCTCTGGTGCAAAAGCCAATTACAAAAAGCAAGAAAGCAACAGTTAGACTAAACAATTTCCCTTTGTTCCAGAACCCTTCATTCCCCCCTTTAATTTTTTTTATTAAAAGTTTTAAAATTTTTATACAATATATATCCCAAATCCCTCCTCCCTCCCCCTCCCCCACTTCCCAGAGCTGATTACAGGGTTACAAATAAACAATCATAATCTAACGAACATTGCCTAACTATACAAACAGTCAAATCCATAACATGCTTTAACTCCTTTTCAAAGTAAATATTAACAAATTAAATACAAAAATAATAATGTAATTAAACCATAAAACTAAGAGTAATATAAATTCTACCATATTAAACTGTTAGTAATAATCTAAGATTTACTCATAAGCTAGATAATACTTTTTAGTCTCATATTTATTCTGAATATAATCTATCCATCGTCTCCAAACCTAAATATATCTTTCTTGTGAATAGTCCTTCAAATAAGTGGAAATCTTTGCCATTTCTGCTAAATTAGACACCTTGAGTATCCATTCTTCCATAGTAGGCAAAGAATCTTTCTTCCAATATTGCCCCACCAATAATCTTGCTGCTGTTATAAGATTCAACATCAAATTAATCTCTTTAACATCAAAATCTGCAATAACACCTAACAAAAATAATTGTGACGTAAACTTTATCTTTCTCTTAAAAATCTTTTGAATGTTCCACCAAATCTTAATCCAAAAAGCTTTTATATTTCTACACGTCCACCAAATATGAAAATAAGTTGCATCTAAGCTTCCACATCTCCAACATTTGGGCTGTAAATTAGGATACATACAGGATAACTTTTGAGGATCCAAATGCCACCTATAAAACATTTTATAAAAATTTTCTCTTAAATTTTACATTTCTAACCCAAATTGTCTCCCATGTGTCCAATAGAACTGGCTCTTGAATATTTTGTGCCCATTTTACCATACAATCTTTAACTCCGTTTCAGAATCCAATTCTATTAAAACATTATAAATTCTCTTTATATGGGCTCGATTTTGATCTTTAATCAGTTTTACCAGATTCACGTCATCTAAAGTAATACCAACCTTTTGATCTAAACTCCACCTGACTGACAATTGATTATACTGAAACCAAAAGTGTACAATATTTTCTTGCTTCAACTCAGCTAAAGATTTTAATTGCCAATCCTTCCCTACCAAACTAAGTATTTCCTTAGAAGAAATCCTATCCATATTCACATCCCTAAATACCCTCTCTATCACATGTCCAGGAATCCCCCATATTGGAATTTTATTGTTTAACTTATAATAATACTTCTTCCAGACACGTAATGAAGAGTTTCTTAAAATATGAGATTTAAAAACCTGATCTACTTTTTATTATAAATTAAATATGCATGCCATCCATATAATAAATCCTATCCTTCAAGAAGGGGTATATTTTTATTTGTTAAGTTAAGCCAATCTCTAATCAATGTTAAAGCCACTGCATCATAATACAATTTTAAATTAGGCGCCTTAAGTCCTCTTCTTTCCTGAGCATCTTGTATAATCTTAAACTTAACTCTTGGTTTTTTCCCTGCCCAAATAAACTTGTTAATACCCTTCTGCCATTCCTCCAAGTTGGCATCTTTTTTCAAGATAGGTATCATTTGAAACAAAAAAAGAAACTTTGGAAGAACATTCATTTTAACCACTGAGATTCTCTCCAGCAAAGATAACTGTAATTTTTTCCAATCATTTAAATCCTTTTGCACTTTTACCCATAATGTCTCATAATTATTTTTATACAATTTAATATTAGAAGCTGTAATATATACTCCCAAATATTACCCCCTTTTAATTTTTGTAACAGAATGCTTTCTGTTACTTGGTGACCAATGACGTACTGTATATTCCTTTGTTATTGCGGTGATAATCAGGACCTTTGCTGGCTTACGGGATTTATCACTACTTACAGAGGATGCTATGATCTTCATCCCCAAGATGGTAAAAGTAACTGTTGTTTGGATAACAGGAATCAAAGATGGCAAAACCAAAAAAAAAACCCTCTATAAATGCTAACATAACCAGAAAATTTTCCCTTCGCCAATCACCAAAGATCTCTCCAAACCAGCTTGTGTCCATGGCAGCTGTCCAGGTTTCTGAAGAAGCTGGGTGTATTTCCTCCACACACACAGGCAGCAGCATGTAAAAGGAAAGCCATACCCTCCTTTAATTTTGTAGTGTTATTTTAACCAATTATGCATGACTGTCTGGACTGAGCAAAAGCTACAGGAGCCAGCAGGGCTCCAGCTGATTGGTGTTTCCGAAGCAGCTCAGAGCTGGAGGTGAACTAAAGAAAAGGGGGGGAGGAGAGGAGAGGCTATAAAAGGAGGTGGTTTGGGTGGGGGAAGGGAAAAAAGATAACAGGAAAGGTTTAATCCCTTTAAAAAAATGAAATTAGTTTTACCCCCTTTAATTGAGTCTGTCTATGACTTTTAGAAAGTTTTCTTTGAAGGTAAATAGGCTTAATTTAAAGCTAAAGCTGTTCACAATTGCAGGAGCCTTTCAATCTAGGATTACAACATTATGACACCTGACAGCGCCTCAGGCAGCTTAAAGGGGAGGGGGGAACGGAGTCTTATTTTGTGAGCCTTTCTTGCTTTGCACTTGATTCCTTTGTCTTTAAGGGTACAGGGAAGGGATTGGAGGGTGCATTCTTACTGTAGAAGAGCTCAGAAGGGAGAGTACAAACTTAGCAACTTTAAGACCTGTGGACTTCAACTCCCAGAATTCCTCAACTAGCCATGAAGGCTAAGGAATTCTGGGAGTTGAAGTCCACAAGTCTTATAAGTGCCAGGTTTGAAGACCCCTGAACTAGCTGGTAGTGGTGCATATTAATAAACATGGATAAATTCATCATACATTTGTCAATACAAAGGGAAAGTGATTCAGCAAAAGAATAGCCACTGAAGAAGTTAAAACTGGTAGTTTTTTTCTTTTTTTCTAGTTTGTAATATTTTATTAGATTATAGAATAAAATACAAAAATACAAAAACAAATAGTAGGGCACAGTGGGAAGGGAAAAGGGGGGAAAGTGAGGAGGAGAAGGGAAAAAGAACAGACTTCCTCTGTTGCAGTAGAAGGAAGCATTAACATTGAACCTCAATTTTTTACTTTTCTGTAATATTATAAACTAGCCATTTCTATAACAACAAATGAATCTAATCAGTAAAACCTAAAATCCCCCCCCCCCTTTTTTAGTCATCAAGTTTTTCACATCTTGCTAAACACTGGTGGTACTCAAATATTGTCATATCCTAAAAGTGGTACAATCTGAAAAGGTTGAAAAGCCTTGCTATAGAGAAGCAAAACAGCATTATATTATTCTAAATGCCCCTGATTTGTAATTATTTATAATACAACCTGCAGCTTAACAATTCTGTTAAACATATAAACAAGAGTCCTATAATTTATAAATTCCATCTTCTTGCCAAGTAGTAGGTCCACCTGGGGCAGTTCAGTTGAAGGTGGCATCTGTTAGATTGGTCCATAGACAGTTGGGGAATGTTTGCCATGGGAGTTTGGGGTTAGGCGG